GCAATTGTTCTCGACTTCTCGCTGATTTCAAGCTGCCATCGATCTGAAAGACAACCACTGTTCTTGCTCATTTCAAGCTGGAAACCTTCTTCTCCTTCATAGTCGAACGAGAAATCAATTTAATAGTCTTATTTTTTGCACTGATTAAGGTTTTATCGCCATTATAAACCCCTAATCGGAGGACTATTTTTGAAAATCTGTTCTCAAATTCCATTTCAGTTCTGGTAATACGAAGTGGGTATATGTTCCGGCCGGTTATGGCAACCGCAGGCCCAGCTTCTTCTTGTGTCTCAAATACATATGCGTATACATAAATCATTTATATGATTTTTTAAGGAAGTTATATGTTTTGAGGTTTAGGATAAAGTATTTTTATTCTTATGTTCGGATAAATGGGTTATTTGTTGCTTTTTTTTTAATTTAAATATCTAATTTAATTTCTTTATTTATTTCAAATTACATATGGTTTTTCAGTTCAAAGTCCTCTTTTAGCCTTTCCTTATTTTTCATTACAGAGATAATAAAAATTCTCTTCATGAATGCTCCTCTATCTTTTGAACAGAAAGTTGCAAAATTACTGTTGTATTGAGATTGCACTATATGTTATTCTTCTTTATGACAAACAGGAAAAAAAATGATGAATATGGATATGGATATGGATATGGATAGTGAAATTCAAACTATCGATGAAACTCCCCCAACAACAAATTTAGAAAATAGTGTTACATCTCTTCCTCCACTTCCACAATCATGTTTAGGGAAAAGGGAAAATAGGAAAACTTCAGATGTATGGGAACACTTCACTATTATAGGAGATCCAAAAGATGAAAATGTTAGGTGTACGTGCAACTATTGTAGGCGAGATTATGCTTATGGGGGCTAGGAAGTGTGGGACTAGCACCTTGAGGAATCATTTGGTTCTTTATTGTAAGAAGTATCCAGGAAGGATGGAATACAAAAGGCAAAAAAATCCAACTGAGTGTGGTGGGAACAATCTTATTGTTGTTGGCTTTAATAAAGAAGAATGTAGACTTGTGTGTGCTATGATGATAGTAATTGATAAGCTATCTTTTAGCTTTGTCGAAGGTAAGGGGTTTAGAGAATTTTGTCGTGTAGCATGTCCGAATTTTGATCCTCCTTCTCGTAGGACTGTTGTTAGAGATATTTATCAATTGTATTTGGATAAAAAAATTGCAATTGAGAAAAGTCCTCCGAAGTCAAAGAGTTTCTCTTACTACTGATACTTGGAGTTCCATTCAAAACATTAACTATATGTCTCTTACTGCACACTTTGTTGATTCTGATTGGAAACTTCATAAACGAATTTTGAATTTTTCTGTGATTGCTAATCATAAAGGTGAAACCATTGGTAAAGCTATTGAGACTTGTTTACGTTTATGGGGTATTAAGAAAGTGTTTACAATCACGGTTGACAATGCAACTGCAAATGAAACGGCTATTTCTTATCTTAAGAGGAAGATGATTGGTAGGAGTAGTAATGGGTGTGTTTTGGATGGAAAATATTTGCATATGAGGTGTTGTGCGCATATTGTTAATTTGATTGTATGTGAGGGATTGAAGGAAGCACATACATCAATTGTTAACATTCGTAATGCAGTGAAATATGTTAAATCTTCTCCTGCTAGAGAACTAAAGTTTAAGGAGTGTGCGAGTCAAGAAAAGATTGATTGTAAATCACATGTATTTTTGGATGTATCAACTAGGTGGAATTCCACATATTTGATGTTGGAAGCTGGTTTAAAATTCCAAAAAGCTTTTGAAAGGTTAGAGGAGGATGATGTACAATATTTCAATTATTTTCAAGAGTATGATGTTGGTAGAAAAAGGGGTGGACCTCCTAGGACTTTTGATTGGGAAAATGCTTCTGTTTTTGTGAAGTTCCTTAAAGGCTTTTATGAAGTAACTTTGAAATTTAGTACTTCATTGTGTGTGAGTTCTAATATTTATCTTCATGAAGGATGTTCACTTTTGACTGAATTGGAAGAATGGAGTAAAAATGGTGATTATCTTTTGAGTGATATGGCTACGAACATGAAGAAAGAATTTGACAAATATTGGGGGAAAATGGAAAATGTTAACCAATTGTTGTTGATTGCTACTATACTTGACCCAAGATACAAATTAGAGTATGCTGACTTTTGTTTTGGTGATATTTATGAGGATAAGGAAGCTGCTTGTAATATGACAAATATTTTGAAAGACAATATGATGTCTATTTACAATTGGTATGTGAATTGTGAAGCTAGCTCTAAAAGCAATGAAGTATCTAGTGAATTGAATTCTTCAAGTGTGGTTTCTTCTAAAGAAAGTCCTACTTCAAGTATGTCTTTTACCCGTGTTTCTAGGTTTATGAGAAAGCGAGCAGCAAAGGATTTGGTTGAATTAAAAAATGATATGGATAGATACTTGTCGGATGCTTGTGAAAACATAGAAGATACGGATTTTGATGTTCTTAAGTGGTGGAGGTTTAATGGAAATAAATATGGTACTTTGTCCAAACTTGCAAGGGATGTTATGGCAATTCAAGTGTCTACTGTGGCTTCAGAAAGTGCTTTTAGTACTGGAGGAACAATTCTTGATCCCTTTCGTAGTTCTTTAACCTCGAGGATGGTTGAGGTCTTGGTGTGTACTCAAAATTGGCTAAAAGAAACTCCGATCACACAAAGATATTACATGGAGGATGTTGAGGAATATACCAAATTGGATAAAGGTAATATTGTTAAAACTATTTCATGAATTATGTTAAATATATGTGTTTTATCTAATTGGTTCTAACTCAATAATTGCTTTTGTAGAGCTTTCCGAATTAAAGTTTGAATCAAGTAGTACATAGTTTCTTCCTCATTTGACCCATCGCACGTAATTTACTTTTTTAAGGAATATGTGAGCGATTAACTATAATATTAATGTCTCTAACATTTTTGTTATTTTGTAGGAAAGATATGCGACAATCGAAGATTACGATATTTTACTTTATTATTTGTTTTTTGAATTTTGGATGATTGTAGTATTTTTATTTTATTTAATTAAGTTTAGATTAATGCATATTTTAAATTTCTGAATGACTGTAATAGTTTATTTTTATTTTTCGTGCTCGATGGAATTTTTATTATGTTTGATTTTATAAGTTAATCCTTTCTGATTAATTGAGGTGTGCCTTATTTTCGTTAGTATGATTTTAATTTGTAGAAAAATAATTGTTTGGGATGTGGAAAAATTCAACTTATAAATCCAATTCTAGTAAAAAAATTGTGATTTCTTCAATTTTAATTGATTGTTTATGATTTATTTAATTTTAATTGATTGTTTATGACCAACCGTCACTAAAATAATCAAGCAAAGCAATGATTTATATAATTATATCAGCCAATTAAAGTTTGGTTTGAAAATAGAAATATTTTTGTGTGAAAAAAGAGAGAGAAAAAAAGTAAAATCGGCCCGATTCAGCCCGAATCGGGTTGGGTCGGTTCGGTTCGGCTGCAGCCTGGTTCGGTTCCAAAAATATGTTAAAACCGACATTTTCGGGCCGAGTTGGGTTTCGTCCAAAACCGAACCAGCCCGGTCTGTTGCCCAGCCCTAACTGCGGTCAAGAAAGGGAGCTGTGACCAAGAAAACGCCCTCACGCAATTTCAGAGGAAAAAGATAGATCTGACGTGACGACGAAAGCTTAGATGAAGATGTTCCCAGAGCTGAAATTCCATCATTTGCAGCTAAGAAAAAAATACATGGCTTATGCCAAGGAGAGAGAAGAATCCAACTCCAAGAACAGTCCAGATTAAGATGATATTGCAGCTAGGAATAGGAAATACCAAATGAGAGGTCTGATACTACTGTTTAAAAATAGATAATGTAAATGTCACACAAAAGAAGAACGATGAGTAGAACAAATAAGAAGAGAAATGTCTTCAATTTTACTTCATAACATATAACTGCTTTTAAAATTGAATACCATAATTCTTATTGGTGCTGGTGAGAAATCTGCCCTTGTCTCAGCCCCTTCCCTCCAGAGAAATAACCTTTAAGCCCTCGGCCATCCCCTCAAGAGATATAGCCTTCTAGCCCCCACTCCCATCCAACAACGGGTAAGCAAAGCAAGCAAATAGGACCCAGCTCCTTTACAAGAAACACTTACTGACTAGAAAAATGAGAAACAACCACTTCAGGCTAATAGAAGGACTAAAACAGCTTGGACAGATTTATACATCATATAAACTCACAGCAATCCAGCAAAATAGCTTTATCGCTCTTGCCTCTTCTCATAAAAAAACTAGAAGATAATAAGCCAAAAATTGTGCTGGCAAATTCCTACATTTTACCTAATCCGCTAGAGTACGCCAGACGAGGGGGAACTAGATGTGATTTATTTTCTTTTTCATCTGGTTAACAATAAGTCATTCGAGCAAGCCTGATCTGTAATTTAATTTTGCTTCTTATGAAACAGTATACTAATACATGAATTGTTTAGCATTTTCCATAAATATATTTGTTTGCAAACTAATAATGTCAATCAATAGGTCGACAAAATGGTTGGCTAGATTCTCAAGAGCAGAAAACAAAGATTCTGAGCTCTCAGCATCTTCCAAGGTAACAATGAGGTGCACAGCCACATGCTTTGCATTGTGATTAATCAGTTCAATGACTAAATAAGCTAAACTATACTAATAGTTTGCTTGATTTGTTATCTTATTTACTTCCAATAAGGAATGGAAGAAGGGGATACATGCATTCCACTAAATAAAGGGATCGGCGACCAAGAAAAAGAGAGAAAACCAAGGAAACGAGATGATGAAGAGATGAACTGGTTCTTCTTAGATAACTACTAGTGGCATTATTTCTCAAAGTATCTTTAAAAATATGAATATGTACAATAGTAGAAACAGCTAAGTCATAGAAAGTACAAGTCTAGAGTAAGGAATTACAGAACTTGTCTTACAAATGTTTGACCTCCATTCTTTTCAAGTCCCAAACCAAAAGCAAACTTAATTAGATGATGGCTCAACTTTACGCTTGGGCCGATTGCGGATGCGTGGTGGTGCAGGTTCCTTTTCTGAATGAATTTTAGCTTCATCATCTTCTTCTGCTTCTAATATAGCTTCATTTATTGCAACCTGGTTCATCACACATCCGTGGTTAAGAACTATTTTTTCTTCAAACATGAATCAAGTACTCAGATGTTCGAATATACATAAGTCTATAATGAGACATGATGTAAATTCTCTTCGGGAAAAAATAAATAAAATAAAATAGTAGGATAACAAAGCAGTAAATACTGTACAGATCTTGAGAATAGGGTTAAATGATTCAATAGAAAATACAACAATTTGTAGTGATATTTAACAAATCAAGCCACGGCCATCAAAATTCAAATACTGTAAGTGATAAAACAGGACAACACCTAGTGTGGTAGCAATTAATGAAATTCCCAAAAATATTTCATAAGTAAAACTTAAATTCAGTTGAAAAATTAATAATGTGTAAAGAGTACTTCGAGATTTTAGAATGATATTTGGACACTACTTGAGAAATGTAGACAGATTTTTGCCGAGAATTTGCAAGTCATATCCATACCATGTATTGCAGTGCACTGCAAAAATCTTTTCAGCTGGCATGCATATATTCGGTTTATCCACCACTTCTAAACTTCGGAGGATGCTGAGAATCCAAAGAGGAGCTTCCCCTCTTTTGATGTAAATGAAAAGAGCTATATTCAACAATATATGATGTATACAAACTTTTCACTTCTAGTAACAGAGATTGTGATATTGAACTAACAAGCATCTGCATTCCATTAATTAAAGGAAATGTCTTCGATTCCTCATGGACAGGCTGGAAGCAAGCTATGTACAAGTTATATATGGGATTTTTCTTCTACAGATGTAATATCCTTAGGCCTTCACATTCTGAGCTGTATATCCTTAAAAAAATTACGAACACTTCAGGGAAAAATTTCACTTATTTATCTTGTAATACAGACTTATTAAGATGGGGTCCAGCAATAATATATACGACTACCACACCAAAGTCTCTTAAGCATAACATCTCTCCTTCATTTCTTAAGCAACACTGCTCCGAGATACTTCCTGATTTTAGAGCTACTAGGGCACATATTTCCTCTATCTATGAGAATATCAAGGGAGAGACTAGTGTCTATGTTCCTAGAATTTTCCCATAGCTTGCACCAGTCTAGCCCTAAGACTTCATTGTCACCAGTCTTGTAGGTCAAGCCTACAAATTGCCTTACAAATCAGTTGCAAACCTAGAAAGACCCAAGCTTTAGCAAAGTTAATCAAAAATATTTGAGTCTTGCCTCAGGTTTGAGGTTCAAAGTTCTAATAAAGTTGTCTTAGTTATCTTGTGACAGGGCCTTGCATTAGTAATCAAGAAGTTCAAGCTACTTTAGAGTTGACCTACAGCAATAGCGTGCTAGGCTGACCTGGGGGATTGTTCTTCATCAAAGCTAAAAGTGACATAAGTTCAAATTCAAATAGGGAGCCTCGAGTTAAGATCCTTATGCAGGGGCATAGAGTTTTAGTCCAGACACACATCTAAAAGGAGAAATGTGAAATGGTGCCAATAGACTATTTAATTTACAGAAGTTGACACTTTCAATCCTTCATGCACACTACATGTCAACTAGGACATTAGCACATTGGGGACGGGTTGTATTGGCCCCTTGATAAATGTGCAAGGGGACTGCAGCAAGATTGTTGAAGTCAAGCATAAAGTGTTTTCGTGAGTTCATAATAGTAAGCACTTGCAGTTGGAGTTGCAGTTGGAGATTCTGGGAACTGCTAATTGCAAACTTCATTAGATATTGAGAAACTTTTTACCAAGTTTTTACCTTAGAAGTTTATTTGCATGAGAAATTATTGTTTAGAGGTGTTATGCAGTAGCATTATCATAATTTCAAAACATTGTGAGGAAAATATTCACACAATCTGGTGTAGTTGAGATTTTGAAGAGCTGACATTTTGGATGGGGTCTTCATCATGGATCAAACAAGGCATTATTGGAGTTTGAAAAAGGGAGAAGCAAGCATTTTTAGTTCCTTGATTGAAAGATATCAACTCCTAACCCTTGGTTTTTCATGCTAAACTATTTTAACGTACGTTTACAAGTATCTGTCAATCTCCCCTCATACTACAGGGGATCCTTTGGATCCCTTTGAGCACTAAACAATCAACAGCCTTAGAATCTTGGGGCCGTATGGTATACTTTTGGCCTTTCAAAGAATCATTAGAGTTCCCCATACAAGGTTGGAAATTTGCATGCAACAATGGAATGTACGGCAGGCATTAGTCATTGATTTTGAGCAAAATCAATGTAATAGGAACAATTATGCTCCATGGAAATCATCTTGCTCTAGGCTAAATAAGCTATCGTCGCAAGCAAAATGATAAGTGTATTTTACAAGCTTGTTAATTGAGAGGATATCTATCTAATGTAATGTAATTATGATAATTGTAGGAAAAACCCACACTTGGATGCAATCGGCGGGAAAAAGCGATTTTGAGCTAAATTAGAGTTGATTAAGAGCAATTGAAGGTTAATCAGACTGCATGTGATCGATAAGAATTACTAAGAGAGCAATGGAGGAGATTCACAAGTTTGAATGTTAAATTCATTTCGGGAATAAATTACAAACTTTCAGAACTTCAAACAGATCAATTATGGATGATTGCTGATGATGAAAATTGAATTGTAAAGACTGAAAGATGTAGGGCCCACGATACAAATAAGAGGGGACTCGAGCCAGACCAAAGGAGAAATCCAAGGACCAAGTTGAACAAAAAGAAAACCAATATACCACGCGATCGCAATAATCGAAAAATAATTACCAGCTAGTTTAACGATTATACGATGCGATCATATGGTTGTTCAGCCATACGAAGATTTCTCTCCTAGTTGATTTCAACTTCTACATGGAATGAAATTAGGGGCACGAGTTTAATCTAATTCCTAAGGGTTATAAAAAGAGAATTCATCTATCATTCAGAGGGAAAAGCTTTTGGATACAAAACACATATTCCTTACAAAGAATTCTACACAATTGCTAGATTTTGAAAAAGAATAAGATTCAAAAAGATTATTCAAGAAGTGTTGAAGAGATTTAAGATTTCAAGATTATTTTCCGTCTTCTTTCTACATTTAAAATTCCGCGTGATGTATTATCAATCAAATTCGCGTTTTTTGTTTTCACGTGATGCTTGGATAATTTCATATATGCTAGGATAACGATGAATCCTATATTATGAAGTTTACTTGATCAATAATTGATTATATTTGTGATTTGTATTTTGTTCAAGAGAAAGAATAGAAACCATAGCACGATAACAATCATTGTAAAATGCGATAGGTGATAAAGATATGTCGTTATGCCTTGTATAATCTTATTGAATATTCTTGTAATTTAACGCATCTTCATATGTTCGTATCCTTCATAGATATGTAGTATAGTCATTTGTAAGAATAGGCTTAACATTACTCGAAAGAGATACTAAATAAAATAGAAACATTGATTATCAATTCCAAATAAGCGTTGTCAACTTCTTGAATTGATATTAAAATGGAAGAGTATAAGGGGATTCAAAGTCAATGGTTTTAATTAATCGAGTTTTATGAACAATTCGTAGTTCTATATTTAGTTAGTAAGAGCATCTCCAATCATGGTATAAAATTGGATGTAAATTAGTATCTTCAAAACTACTTTTGCATCCTCATTTACATTCCAGTGGATCTAAATTCAAATTTTGGTCTAATGAAAAGATCTAAATTTACATTTTGCCTTTTATGGATGTAAAAAAATGTAAATTTATATCTTTTCTTACATTTTGCGCCGAAAAATGCAATTTGAATTTCCTTTACATCTCTCCATTTGAGAGGTTTCTGGCCACTTTAGAAATCTAAATAATATCACAATTTAGATCTATTTTACACAGCGATTGTCGATGTTCTTATATGTTTAATTTTTCATTATATAACTCAAATCAATTTTGCTATTCAGCTAAAGTACTAATTAATCGAAACTAAATTAAGTGTGCACTTCTCATCCTCACAATACTTTACTCATCCATTGTTAATTGGCTACAATATCACACTTGTGAAATTATAGAGCAACATACATCAAGAGCCTTGTAACAAGGAAACTTGTTTGCATTGGCTACTATGGGTTCTAGCCTTGTTGCCTTTTTGCAAAGAGGTCAAATAGCATACAAGTGTGGGATTCTAGGAGCTTGCATGAATCGACAAAGTAATTGTACTGAATAAGCCAAGTATGTCCGGTAATGGTGAGATAAAGGAATCTACCAATGAGTCTTCTATAAATTGAAGGGTCTTTGAGCAACTAACCTTGGTCCTTAGACATTCTACAGTTCTGATCTAAAGGTATTTTGTTTGGTATTGCTCCAATGGTTCCTGAATCAGCTTATGCATACTTTGACAAATATAAATTCCCTTCTCTGATCTATTCAATTCCAACCTAAGAAAATACTTCAAGTTACCCAAGTTCTTGATTTTAAATAAAATGAAAGAAAAATGTAAGAAGGGATAATTTCCATATCATTGCCAGCCATTATAAGATCATCCACATGATGATTGTGAAAGAGCTCATCACTAATCTTGGAAACAAACTATAATTGACTTTTGACTGCTTGATTTCTTACTAAATAATAAAAACAGAAAGCTTAGCACATCATTGTCTCGAGGGCCCGCTTCAATCCATATAAACTTTTATGTAGTTTGTAAACTTTTGGATGTTCACCATTAGTATACCCTAGTTTAAGCTCCATGTAGACCTCCTTATCTAAAGCACCACGACATGAATTCCATCCTTTAGTAGCCGCAACAGCAAGTGATGTCCTAACAGTCACTAATTTTGCTACTGCAAAAAGTTTTCATGTTAATCTAGTCCCTCTTGTTGTGTATAGTTATTTGCTAGTAGCCGTGCGTTATACCTCTCAATTGTTGCATCTGTATTGTATTTGATTTTGTATACCCATTCACACCCTATAGTGTCCTACCCAACGACAATCCAAGTGTCATTCAACTCAAAAGCTTCTATCTCAGCTTGCATTAGCTTACACCAATCAAAGGAATTAACAGTTTGTGCATAAGTGCTAAGTTTTGTCTGTTTCGTGATTGTAGAGACAAAAACTCCATGTGTTGGATAGTTTATGATAAGATAGAGTTGCATCAAGAGGATAACCTCTACCTAAAAGCATTGGACCTTCTTCCTTGTTCAACTTCCATGAATGGAGAAGTGAGAAATCTTGTTGACAAATGAAGTCTAGCAAATAGGCAGGTGCTTTCTTCTCTATGGTGCATCTCATGGGCAAGTGTCGACTAGTGAAAATGGTATGTAAAGATTCTATAAAAGGCTCATAAGGATTTTTTGTGTTTGAAAATTCTACTGTATGTTTTATATTGCCTTCTGGTTCAGGTTGGTGAAGAATAGCTTCAAGAGGATAGTCAAAGATAGTCTCTATTAGTTGAAGATAAGGCAAAGTGATTGGATTTAGCAGGTTTTGATCAATAGGCGTAATGTTAGTCTAGTATGGAAAGATTTATCATGAAAGATCACATTTCTAGAAATGAAAAACCACTTGGTTTCAAAGTCAAGTAAGTTATAACGCTTAAATCTAGAAGGGTAACCTAAGAACACACACTTCCTTGGTCTAGGATCAATTTTGTGCCTACTATTGACAAGAGTGGAAGCAAAAACTAAACACCCCGAAAACTCTAAGGTGAGACTAGACAGGTTTGGTTTTGAAAAAGAGATCGAAAGGTATTTTATTTCTGAGAAGTGGTGAGGGCGTTCAGATTATATGGTAAACTACTATGAGAACACAATTATTTTAATATCTCATTGGAATTCCACTTTGAAACTTTAAAGCCCTAGCCACATTTAAAATATGTTGGTGCTTTCTCTCTACAATGGCATTTTGTTAAGGGGTCTCAACACAAATTTTCTCAATAAAATCATCCACAATACTAAGAAAATATATTGATCCATCATGACTAATTTTATTACATGATCCCCAAAGATCACAATGAATTATGTCAAAACTTTTTCAGATCTATGGCGACTAACAAAGAAAGGAAGTTTATGTAACCTTGCAAAAGAACAAACAGAATAGTGTATAGAACTAGTAGTGATGGTATAAGTCGTCCTTTACTTCACCCACACCAATCATTTTCCAAGTTAAAGTGTTCTGAATGAAAAATCTTCAGGCCAAAAAATGAGGCAACATTTTGAGCTGAGTTAATTTCCAGGCAGATATTAGGTTTTAAAAAATGAAACACAAAGAAAATCACGTAAAGTCAAGTTTTCTGATATTTCTACTGTTCCAAAAATGAATAACGCTAACAATTTCACCATTTGGAAGAGCTACAGAGTATGCAGCCACTGTTTTGATGGTTGCAAATACAGAGGTTGAACAGACCAAGTGGTCTGTCGCCCCAATGTCCAATATCTAAGGTGTATCAAAATTGTTGTGTGATTTTATGCTATAAACAGAAAGGCAAAGGGAGCTACCAAAGATCTTTGACAAATCAGATTCAGTAGTTGAAAATGATATGATAGAATGAACTTGATTAACTAAACATGTGTAAGGTTCACTAGGTTGTGACTTGAGTAAGGCAATTAGCTGTAAATATTGTTCTCAAGTGAGTGGGACTTGATTGTCATTGATTTGCTCCTATCCAGATGACATAAGAGTGGTGATTTGATTGGCCGATGCCGGTCTGCCCCTTCCCATAAAGCTTGAGGTCTAGTGGATAGCCGTAAAGCTTGAAGCATTTTTCTATACCATGACCAGAATTCGGCAATAATTGAAAACTGGCTTATCAAGATTGGCTTTAAAACATCTCTCGAGAGAATGCACAGGCATTTTTACAAAATCTACAGTAGTACTTCTTTTGAGATGTACATTCAACCTTCCAGTATCTTTAGAAGCTGCCATGAAATTTATGGAATCACTGACATGGGTGTCTAAAGAAATTTGTCTATGTTTTTCCTCTCGTTGTATGAAGGAATACACTTCATTAAGATAGGGAAAAGGCTCAATTAGAAGAATTTGAGCATTGAGAGCTTTGTAGGTTTCGTTTAAACCCCCATAAGAAATTTCAATACCCAATATTTTGGTTATCCACTACTGTCTTCAATCCCCACATGTTCCAATTAGGAATTGACTCGTTATTCATCAATTAATCCAGTAGGGTTTTTTAACTAGAGTAGTATACACTTACAATATCTTAGTTTTGTACCTTGCTTCACTTCATAGATCCTGGGAGCATTTTGCTGGGCAAGTCGCAGTTCAAGATCCTACCATAGTTGGTGAGCAATGCTAGTCTTGATGTCGACAGACATGGTATTTTGCAACCAAATGATAACGATGTCATTGCAACGAAGCCAATGGTCTATGAATGGGTTGTCAACCTCAAGTAGCTCATGGATACTCCCATCGACAAACCCAAGCTTGTTTTCTATACGGAAAGATCTTTTTATAAAGGCAATTGCTCAAATCAAGCATTTGGGTGATGAGAGGAGCTCACTATCATTGGAGCTGACAAAATATGGGCTATTTGGTTGAGATGGGTCATGAGTATTTGGATTTGGATTTGTAGGAGGAGGAGAATTTGGGTTTTAATTAACATTGGTGCTAATGGAATCAACCATGGTGCTCTGATACCATATAAGAAAAAAATAAATGAAAAACTTGGAAATGAAACAACACTACATAGCAATAGCTGAATCAAGAGATCCTATTTATACAGAAAGGCCACAAAGACCTGTTAAAAAAATTTTGTACAAAAATAAATAAATGAAAAAAAATATTCTCCTAGTTGTACAAGAAACTGTAAAACATAAAAAGGCATTAGGTGGGCACTCTAGAATATTCTAATTACATTCCTTCTCGTAACCTCCTGCGGTCCCTCTTGCCGATTCCATTTTCTTCCAGATTCTTCAGGGCTTATTCACATTCTCTTTGTGCTAGCTAAAAGTTTAATTTGGCTGAGTCATGACTGCCTCGTTGGCATTCCTGTATTTGCTTCTCATATTTCAACAAATGTTGATAGGCAAGTATGTTGGCACCAAGTGCAACGAGGTGAGACATTGGGATTGATGCTAGTAAGCTTCATGGCATCAAACTTGCATTTGGTCAAAGTTGCATTTCAATCAAGCTAAAGAATCTATCGTAAAATATTCAGTTAATCCAAGTTGCGTTGGTGAGAATGTGACAACAAAGGAAGGGCTATGTTACTAGAATTAATGAGGATACGTGTTGAAAGAGGACTTCCCTCCTTATCGAGAGAAACCAACGACTTATGACTTAATTATTTTTGCAATAGGAGAAAAAAGTTGGTCTTTGCCAAAGAGGACTTTGAGGCATCGAATAGGTGAAAAATAGAATGAAGCACAGCAAGAAGAGTTGACCAGTGACACAAGACCTTGACTTCCGTCCAATCTCAGTAAACTTTATACCATCAGTAGTCTGGACACATCAGTTGGGTTCATTTTCAGCTATTAACAGCTACTGATATGAGCAACCACCAAATGTGATCTACCCCTCTCCTTGAGCCAATTGTGTCACAATTTCATATCCTACTCTTCAACTTGCACAACCTCCCGATATTACCCCCCTCAAGCAATTCCCCATACGAACTGCCATCGAATGAGGAACTGCACACCTCTCCTCGAGTCAATAGCATCCCAAATTTATATTCTACTCTTCTACTAGCACAACCTCCCAGTATCGTCTCTTTAAGCATTATCTTTTCATCGTTTCAATGCACTAAGGCCACCCTTCTGTTTCACAAGTTCTCTTGTCCATGTACTCATTACACAGACAAATTTTATTCTCACAAGAAAATAGCGAACCCACATTTTTATACTAATTAAAATCAAATTTCCATCTTCGTTGCAGCAAAAATATAAAATAAAAAATTATAGCTATATCCTGAAGTTGCACTAGTGTAACTTAACCCAAAATTTCTAATCAGAAAACAAAATATCACAGTCCGAAAAAGCCTAATAACAAAGAAAAACAATCATAGCCCTTGAGAGTGAAAGAAACTTATGAACGATCCTTCAGCATTATTACAATTAAACAAACTAGCATCTCAAAAAATAAAAGAAATCCCGTGAATATACTCTATTTAAAACACATAACACGCGCCCATCAAGAATATGGGAAGATTTGCTTACCTCTTCGAGGAACTTCTGGTCGAGCTTGTCAGCAATTCTAATAGAAGTGAATACGGTGACCGCCAAGAGAGAGAGAGGCAAGACAAAGGCGAATATGTAGCTGCTGGTGCTAGGCCCTGCCCGTGTAACCACCGAAATTCTTCTTCTGCTGCTAGTATTCCGGCAACCCGATTTGGGATTTTGGGCAGCGAAGCAGCCCTTGAGCGATAAGGTAAGTGGTGGCGGTGTTTTCTTGTAATTGTGGGTGAAATGGAGTTGTGTGGAACACGAGACTGGGTTGTATAGGGCCATACTCTAAACGGGAATGGCCAATTGCTCCTGCCTCAAGGCCTCGGCTCGGCTTGCCTTGGAGTAATTTTAAAAATAGATTTGTCAAATTCCCTATTTTTAACTTTGAATTTTTAACTATTGCATTTTTTCACAATGACATTTTGGACGTTAAAAGACAAAGATATTTTTTAACTATTGCATATTTTCACAATGACATTTTGGATGTTAAAAGACAAAAATGATCTTAAGCTCCTGTTTGGGACAAATTTTATTCTCAAAATGTATAAAAAAATTTGAACGTTGGAACAGTGTTGACTGACATCACAATACAATAATCATTGTACAAACGGAGGCTAAGCAGTATGTGTGGCAAATAACCTTTACCCAAACCAAATGCATTCACTTTTCCCTCACATGGAATGGCAAAATCGGAACTGCAGAAACATATAGCTTTGAAATCATTACAAAATTATTGTAGCGAATGTGCTTGATTTGACCAAAAAATGCATTTTTTGTGTGAAAATGGCAAACAAGCCGAGGCTAAATATGTTATATAATTACAAAATATTGTTTTGTTTGAAAGATAATACTACACCTTTAGTTAACAAGTGATAACCAAACACTTCTCACTTAAAATTTTAAAATCAACTAACTTTTTTTATCTGTTTATTTCAACACATACAAAAAAAATTTATCTTTCATCTGCTTCAATCTCAAAATCTAAAAAATTTATCGAACACTGAACAAAAGACTATTTTTTTTATATCAATCACTTCGAATCGATAAGTATATTTACGTATGTTTAATTTCATTTTCGTTAAATTAATATATGTTTTTAATCGATAAATGTTATTTCATCGTAGATTGACATGTAAATAAAAAATTTTAACAGATTTATAATTTTTTTAAGTATAAACATGAAAAATTCATTTGCATGTATATTACTTCAGACGAGATTTATGGCAATGTTAATTTCTGGCCAGTCTTAACAGCCGGCTGTTAACAGTCTTAGGCAACCGAATGTTAACAGTCGGAACGGCAGCTAGGGAACTATTAACACAGCCTACCTGACTTTTTTTTTTCAAACAAATTTCTGTTGCCTAGTGGTTGAGCCGATTTTTCGACTATTTTTTCTCTTATAATTAAAAATTTTGTTTCGTCATGCAAATATGATTGTAATCCCAGTTTGTTACTTTAGTGATTTCGAATTGTATGAAAATGATTGATGGGTATGAAAATGGACGAGTAATATAAATGTTGGTATTCTAATTTCCAAACATCAAATACATCATATGCGAGAATGTATCATGATTTACAAAACAAGCTCTCTCTCAGTACAATATGGAACTGAGATTCCAGTTCAACGATCATTCATCCATCCCGATTCCACCTATAAAGGTTACTTCTAATGCTTAAATGAATTATTTACTAGAATTGAACAATATGTACACGATTCCTCTTTGCGTGACTTTAGTGAGGAAGAATGTTACAGAAGATGAACACGAAGATTCGGATGGAATGGATCATAATACCAATGATTTATGGGATTCAGTAAAGATAGCTCGTGAGGATGATGTAGTTATTCCCAAGGCAGTTGTTCATCATCGTGATCTCGCTGTTACGCATAGAATTCCGTTTGTAGTTTGCGACAATGATAATGAAAATGAATTTACAAATGAGAATTTGATTACTTTATCCTATCATAGACGTATGGGGCGAGAGCGCAGGAACGTGATTGAGTGAATCATTATCTAATTCTTCGCGTGTGGTTCCCGATGATGAGGATTTGTATGTCGAGCAACTGTTTGAAACGAAAAAAGAATTGTAAGAAGCTGTGCACCGAATTATACTGAAATACAACTTTGAGTTAAAAGTGAATAAATCAAACAAATCATTGTTGACAATTATATACGTCGGCGACAGTTGCCGTTGGCGTTTGCGAGGGACGAAGATGGACACGAATGATTAATTTGTAAATCGCAAGTATACACAGGAACATACTTGCGAAGTGAGAATTCGTCGAAATGATCACAAGCAAGCTTGAACACGGTTTATTGGTCGACACATAATGATTTAATGGGCTCAGTCAAGGAGAGCTATGTTAAATTGGTCAGGTATTGCCGTAACATGTGGACAACTAATCCTTACTCGGCATTTTTTATTGAGACTGAGGGCAAGAATTGCTTTAAGGTTTTCTTCATGGTTCTTGGACAATGCATTCGAGGATTTCAAAATACGATGCGACCTCTAATTGCTAATCTATGGTACCACTCTGAAAGTTAAATACGAAGGCAAGTTGATCATTGCTACATGTCAAGATGCCAACATCCAAAATTACCCTCTTTCATTTGGCATAGTCGATAGCGAGAATGATCTGTCAATACATTGGCTCTTCACAAAGTTGAGGGAAGTAATTAAGAAAGTCGAAGACCTTGCCTTTACAACTGATCGAGGGCCTTTTATAATAAATGGTATCACTGAAACTTTTCCCCAAGGCACACCATGGGCATAGCATGTACCATATACAAGGCAACCTAAAGACTAGGTATCGAGGCAAAGATATTGTTTCATTGGTCAGAAGAGCAGCTGAAACTTACAGTGTTGAAAAGTGTAATAAGTTCATGATTGAAATAGAAAGTAAATTATTCCAGTCATGGGGGTATCTAACAAAAATGGGGATTGAACATTGGCGCACTCACATTTTCCAAAACGTCGATATAACATGATGAATTCAAATAAAGCATAATCTCTCAATGTATTATTCAAGAATGATTGAGAATTACCAATCCTTGGAGATTGTTGGGCAATAAGAGAAAAGTGTGTAAGCGTATTATAAACTTGCCGACCACCGAAGATTATTTGAAGAAATATATGGATCCAAAAAACTATGTTAAAGCATGAAGAAGAATGAATTAGATTGGGAAAAATGTTGGTAGTGAAGAAGAAGAAGAATTTTTTTTATTTCTAATTTTTTAATAATTTGTTTGGGACACGTTTGAACTTTTTTTTAAAAATTGGGACTATGATTGCAAGTATGATATCAATATGATCATCCTTTCCACAAACAAAAGAAGAGTCGCACAAAAAAGGACTAATGTCTAAACCATTCTAACCAAATGTGGAAAATAACACTTTTCTCCTATCAATAATATAAAATAAGCATAGTTAACCTAACACGAATATGTTTAACGTTAAACATTTAAGCATTAATGTTTTCCAAAAAGTTATTAATAATTTCATTTTTATCAGTCGAAAGTAATATTTTTTCCAACCATACATTCATAACTAATAGTCATTTACTATCCACACATTTTCGTGGAATCTACTATTATTCCTATTATAAAGTTATTGGTAATTTTAGACAAACATCAAGGTAACCAAGAGCATAAATTATCTACAAAAGCTTATGTACACTCTACGCAACCAAGAGACCATTTGCCATTTGGTCCACTTTAACCTTAGTAGCACGCCTAAAGGTAGGGCCGGCCCTGAGATTTTGGGTGTCCTGTACGAGATTTTAAAATGGTGCCCATTTCAAGTAATAAAAAAATCAGTGTTTTAAAAATTGGCCGGGCCTTGCCGATCGAACCGGTAAAACCAGGAACCGTTCTTAAAGAGGGGTCGGTTGTAGGTTAATAGCCGGATATTAGAAACCCGTTAAAAAATCACTAAACCGCCCGGTACTAACCCTTAAATACGATTTTTTACGTGTTTCCAAAACCTTTTTAATTTAGATATAAAGTTTATAACTTTAACTATTGGGCTCAACCATGAAAATGAAAGCCCCATGCCCAGTTTTGATAGACAGGCGCCAGCAAAAATATGATATTTAAATATTTTTTTATTTTTTTACATTTTATGAGAAAAGTATAAATAAAGTTCAAAAGCATTTCTTGAACTTCATCAAGATTCATATGTCATCAACAAGTAACCATCCAAACCACTATCCTCTCGGGCAATTCCAAATAAATAATAAATGTTAAATAATGGACAGCTGAATCACTCTCATATTTTTGTTTTTAGAGTTTGGATAGGTCTGGATACGTGGACTTTAACATTGTTGGGCCCATTTAGTTTAACTAAATTACTACATAAATAATAAATGTTAAATAATGGATTTTAAAATTATGTTTTAGTTAATAAAATTTTTTATGTAATAAATCTATTTTTTTATTTAATTTTATATTTTAAAATTAATATACATTTTAAATATATAATTATACATAAATATACAACTAACAAATTTTTTTTTGGTGCCCCTACAATTTTGAGACCTGTGCAGTCGCTCCACTTGCGCACCCTCAGGGTCGCCTCTGCCTAAAGGTACTATTAAATATCATTTTTATAGCTCTCTAGATAAAAATCTTTGTTAGCAAAAATACAAACTTCTTAGAAGATAAGTATATTAATAAACCTCAATATAAGAGTAAGGCTGCTTTGAAATAAATGAGTGGGAGCAATTCAGGTCATCAGTTCTTGAAACGCAACTTGATGACAAACAACCCATGGTATTAGGAATCTGAGTCGAAGAGATAATATTCTATCTAATCACACAAATTAAGAAAAATTTGAAGGTAATGACAATGTAATGGTGTCACATGATGGTGATACAGACAATAATGGAAACATTAGAGTTCCAAATGACACCATACTTCATTATCTACCATCCCTTAGACAAAGTCAGAAGATCATATGGCAACCTTCGAGGTGCTTGTTGGTTAGAGACTCCAAATAGAAGATCGACATCGAATAAGTAGATGATCCGACTCCATATAAGGAGATAATGGGTGATGTAGATGCAAATTTATGGTTACAATCTATGAATGCCGAAATAGAATCCATACACTCCAATCAGGTCTGGGAACTTGTAGGTGGAACAAAAGGGATAAAACCTATCAAGTACAAGTGGGTCTACAAAAGAAATAGAAAGTAGATGGGATGGGATGGTGGAAACATTCAAAGTTAGGATAGTGACTAAGAATTTTACCAAATGAGAAGACATCGATTATGAAGATACCTTC